TTATAAGCAAGTTTATCCGGTTGCCTTATTTCTAGTACTAGATTTATTCAGATGAAAGCCCAAGACAACCTCGAAAAGGACTGTTTCTGGTCATAAGTGGAAGACATTGTCTGTTCGTTTTGGCCATTTTTGGGAGAAAAGTTATCTTCTTTCCACAGCAATATTCCGGGTATAAAAGCGGAACTACAATAACTTGTAAATTGGAAATTTTTTGGTACATATTGATCATCATTCATCACCAACCCAAATTACCTATAATAATTCCATTACCTTTAGACCTAACCAAAGATATGATAAATTAATTAGTAGGCGTGTAATCTCATGTTTAGAAGGGGGAGGAAGGGTTGTGATTTGTGCTTCATTATACATATTAGTTTTCTAATTAAAATGAATTTGTTTTTGGCACCTGCGGTTGCATATGTAATTTATATCTTCAAAATTTTAAATATTATAATAATAATAAATACAATACTTTAATTAAATTTTAAATAAATATTACACAATATAATTTTACTTAAATTTACTCCCTAGGGCTTGAGCTTAATAATTTTTTAATATTCTAAGAAGCTTACTAAGAAAAAAATGGACAAAGCAGTAAATAACTTTTTAGGGATTTTCATAATGTTTTGGGATGGTTTAAGAATGAAATGGAGAGTTGTTTTATAGTTGGGGACCAAGATAGGGTTTGCATAAAGGACACATTAGATAATAATTTTAAAGGGTAAGAAGGGATTAAAGTAATATTTTGATTGACTTCGCCGTTATATCATAAAGGAGGTAAAAAGATTTTTGGGAACCGATGATTTTGTAATTTATGAATTTATATCATATAAAATATTAAAATTTTTATATTTATATTGTATTTTATATAAAAATTTTATGTTATAATTTATATTGATATAAAAATATAAAATATATTTTTAAAATTTATATATAATTATTAATAAAATTTTAAATCGTATTATTTTTATATATTTTTATTATTTTTATATTATATTATTATATTGTGTGAAAGTGAAATAAAATAAATTGTCAAAATTAGAGGAATGACTCTCAGATTTAATGGAAAATTAGATCATTATCAAAAAATAAATATTAGAATTATCAATTTTGTAGATAATAATCACAAAATTCAAAAATAAATGGGATAATTATGAAAAATTACATGGGAATGTTGATCAACACTACAGGATATCCATGAACATTTCATTTTTTTTTTCGAAATTTTGAACTCGAATCAACCGCTCATTGGAAAAGTGGATCGAATTTTATTGTTCATTCAATTGACATTAAATAACATCAACTGACATTTGATCTATGCTCGATCCATGCAAAGTAGCGTTGATCGAGATTTTGGAATTTTCAAATTTTGATTTAAAAAAAAAATCATATTTGTTTCAATCTAGTTGCTCAATCAACACGTGGAAGTGTAGATCGAGGGGAAACCTTACTCGACCGACACTCGCGTGCACCGATCCACATTTGTTCATCATGGTTTATAAGGAATTCTTCCCCTGTGGATTAGATTATTGGATATCACAGTCCGGCCCACGAAAAAGAAATAGACTAGGGCTCTATGCTCAAAAACTTGAACCAAGAATCCATCTGATGTGAAATCCCAAACAGTTTTCAAGGGCAAGCCCTGTAATAAGGTGACGGAGCCTTCTCTTATAACCAAAGTAGACATTTATCGTTTGATTTGCTTTAACATTGACCAATTTGATGGTAAAAGTAAGAAATTATGATGACAAGTTACAAGTACAGGACTTATGAATCATCTTGCTATCCACCAACATGTTACCCTGGTGGATGAAAGAAAAATTCCATAGGAATAATGTTTTACATGTTTACTGTGGCAATTGGAATCCAGTTTATGAAGAGGCTGTTAACTTTTCATTGGCCGCGAAGATCTAGGGACCCCAGATTTTGATTTTGGATTGAAACTAATTCAAAGTGGCTGTAGGTTTTCAAGAGGTTTCCCATGGCCAATGGAAAGTGGATGATGATAACCCCTAAGACCAAATTCGAGAGTGATTATCCAAAATTGAATCAAATGATACTAACCTGGAAAGTCTTTGTGCAAAACTAGAGTCATTAGCCAATTAGTCTGATTTAGTCATTTGAGAGAATTTGCTTGAGGTCCTCATCATTCAAACTTTTGCCAAACTTATCCAAAATGTGTTGTGCCCTTCAAAATAGTGGAAATGAACTGTTGTTCAAAAGTAATATCTTCAACCTAAAATCAATTAGTAATAAGCATTTAGAATGTCTAATGGATGTGGAATAATATTGTTTTAACAAATTTTATAATGCATAGGTGAAGATAAAAGCCTATAACGTGGTAAAATTGAAAATTAATGTTATTTTAATAATCTCCCATCATACAACAAATTTGAAAAGAATAACATATAATAGTATGAAATCAAAACTATAATAATATATTAAATATTTAATTTAAAATTAATTTACATTAGATAAAAAACTAACTCGAATATAAAATTATAAAAAATTCAATACATAACAAATATGGGATATTATTACTTTAACACTGCAAATGTGTATAATTTTAAAATGTGTATAGAGTGATGTTAGCATCAACTATTGAAAGATCAAACAAGAGAAATTAAAAAAGAATAAACTGCCAAACTTGATACTCAACAAGAAACACAAAAGTGAAGGTTAGTTGTCTGTTTAAGAAAGAAAAAAGGCAAATAAAATTAAAACTTGAGTAGATGGTCTACTTGCTATAATTGGGTGCATTTCTGAGGGAGATCACTGTCCTTTAACATAAAATCTATCAGGGAAAGTTGCAGATACAATAAAAAGATAAATCAAAGGGTATCGTGGGTTCAAGCCAAAACAGATAACCACATAAGCAATGACACGACTCCTTAGATTCTAGTTAATGGGAATAGTGTGGAAATCCCCCGTAAGATTACAGAGAAAGCTGTGAAAAAGATTGTTAGCGTCGGCTGAACCAGCTTGAAATGGTTTCAACTAGGAGTTGATGGCTTAGGGTGCAAGTTAGGTTTATAGTCCATATGCAAAACAGGTTCATTACCTTAATATAATCCAAAAACCATAGTTGTTAACAATTAAAATAGGTAAACCACTCTTGATTTATCACAAAATTTGTTTTAATTTTATTATATTATAATTATACAATCAACATCTCAATCGTTAAGTCAATATTTATTAATTATTACATTAAAATTATCTTAATTAGTATAATATCAATACATTATTAATATCAAATAAATCAATTGATCATATCAATAGAAACTCAATATAAAAGATAACGTCAAGCTACAGGTAGTTCATTGTGAATCTTTCATTCTCTTTTTACCTTCTCCAACTTGCTTCTCTTTTTTCCTTTTATTTCTACAGTATTTTAGGACTTAAGCTAGAGCTTTAGAAAATAATATCTTTGACACTTCCAGCCCATTATCTTTGTGAAAAGTCACAGACGACATCCAAGTCAGGCATAACTTCCACTTTTCAGCAAGCACCCAACCAGAAAACCCATCAATAAATCTGTTTTTTTAGATTATAAGATCAGAATTATTTCATTGTTGGATTAAAACCAATTGTATGGTTTAATAGTATTATAAGAGTTAAGAAGATATCAATGGCTCACAAAACCAAAAGGCTCAACTGCCACAAAAAATGGGATTAGTGGGCAATTAGGCGGATACGGACAGAGTTAAAAAAGTTTGTAGATAAGCATGAGTTAGTGGAGATACTAATGCAACCCAAAAGTAGGACGACTCCATTAATCAAAGTAATGCACCAAGGAAAAGCAGTCTCACTATTCATCCTTTATCATACATGTTTACCTTAATAGCCTTGTTTATACAAAATTAATGTGATTTACCGTTAAGGTTGTTTTAGCAATTAACCCTTATCGGTAGGATCGTTTTAAAATCTGACAAAATCTATATGGAAGCCTCGTGTAAACCAGAAAAGGTTCAAAATTGCTGATTCAAATTCAGGTTTTTTTTTTTATTATTTGAGGTTGTCACAATTTTAATTTTAATCACTAAAATTAAAAATTCAGTATTTTACCAACAGATTACGTCTCCCAACTGTCGACACAATTGCTCAGACTTTTGCAATAGGTTGGTGAAGAGCAATAATTTGAAAGCTTTCCAACCAGAGGCAGAGCAACTTTTCATGGTGAAATACTTAAGAAAAAGAATGAACAGAAGACTTATCAACTGCTACTTCCTAATTCCGGTCACCACTTCTCAAATCATCAGCTATTTAAAGCCCCACTAGCAAAAGGAGAACTCCCACTGGCTTTTGAGACAGTCCATTGGAGATCTCATAGTACATAAAAACCAACCTATCAGTTTCTTGAAACTGATAGGTATGGTATTATTTTGGCAAAGAAAAGAATCCATCCATGGGGTTTCATAAAGCATGGGGGGTAGGAGTTTGGGATTCCTCACCCTCCTCCAAGAATTAAAACTGTTTGCCTGTGCTTAGCCAATGGCTCAGCTAAACAGTAGTCAGCAAGTTCATGGAAAAGGATCCTATAGAGTAACTAGCTAGAAGAGGCTTTTGGCTAACGCACTGGCAAACCGGCAAGTCACAGAACGGCAATTGACTCAATCATGAGTTTTTCTGGCTATATATCTTTGCTTTCTCGTATTGTTTTGTTTTCATGGTTGTTGAAATGTAAAAAAAACTTGTGTGCTTAGAGCAGAGAACCTCACCCTTAGCTGTGTGAGTGTGCTTGTTTTGCAATTTGAAGTCAGTTGCTGCTAATGAATCGAACAATAATTTGGTCATCTGTCTGTCTTTCAGTCTCTTTTATGCACGATTTTGAAAAAGTTCGAAGTTGCATAGATACGTGCATGTGTACTAGTGTCATCATTCCAAAATCATTATTTTGAGTTCCACAACTATGGATCTAAATCTAAACTGCCAAAAAAAAAAAAAAGAAGGAAATCTCTAGGGAAATGATGATGATCCAAAAGAATAAATAGAGTAGCAAATATGGATTTCCATTAAAATCTTGCTTTAAGCTGCAGTCTGGTAGAATTCAATGTTTTTCTCTAAACATACAAGTGGGAATTTGAATGCAATAGGTACTTCAAATCAAGACACAAGAATCATAGAACTTCTAGTGTTTCCAATTTGAAATTCAATGTGGAACTCATAACGACTCTACATTTGCCTTCTTCACCCCACTCAACATGCCATTTTGAACATACTAAACCTGTAGTTTTGTATATAAACATTGCTCAGTTTCTCCAAATTCCCCTTCCAGCCTTCAGCAGTGAAGCATATAGCAACTCATTCCAAGTGTCAGGTACTCCCGGCAAGCACCAATGACTGCAATCTTGAACTCTCACTGCAGCATTCCTTTCTTCTTCCGTCTTATATTCTCTTCTGTAAATAGAAGGATGTGCGTCCTTTCTGTAATCTGTAAGCCTGCTTATGTTCAGATATATAACTGGAGTTTTGGTATTTTGAAGAACATATTCTACAGCTCTCATTTTGGAAGGGTACTTTGTCAAGTAAGTTTCATTAGAGATGGGCTCAGTTTCCTGGTGACATCGTCCTCCAGAATTCCACTGGCCTCCCCTGCAAACACATTTAAACTCTTTAGATATTTCTTCTTTATGGGACATAGATGTCCCTACATGAAATGAAAATAAAGCTTTGGAATGCCCCATTTCTGGTTTTAGCCTGTTAGGAAGTGTTGGTTCATTTGAAAAGGCAGAAAAGCAAAGATCCAAAGAACCATTCAGGTTCATTTGAAAGTATTGGGTTAATTGACAAGTGGCTTTGTAAAGATGCCTGAAGGTTTATAATTATTAATCAAATACATTGGCATGGCTTGGCATTTGGCTATTTTAACAACTGATGTACAGAATCATCTAATAAATCCTGGTCTGGTGAAAGACCTAGTCCTGGGTAACTGTTTTCATACTAGCTTGATTGGAGTCTGCTTTTTTTCTTCTTTTTGAACATGGTAAGAGCTGGAGAAGCAAGGGGAAGGTCAGAATTGCCAGTATAAGGTCGATTTTGAGTTTTCACTACACTGGCAAAGTATATTTGTTTCATATATTTGTTCCAAAGCCACATTTTTAAGCATCCTAGCCTTTTCTAATATTTCAAGTTATCTTAACTAATGGATCTCATGCTTCCATAATGCAGTCTTAGCCATGTTTAACGATCAGCTTCTACAACTAAGGGCTTAATTGAAGGAAAACGCTACAACAAGGGTGGCAAAGGTTCGGTACAATTCAACAAGATCTAAGAATGCATAAGCATCAGATTTTCTCTATCCTATTGAAATTTTCATACTTGTTATCTCGAAAAGCTAACAATCAGAGTTATACCAAGAGTAATACAGTGTGTTCAGTCATGAAGGCATGAAGGGAAAGTGGAGTGATATTACATACATCAGTTCAGTCCATGCATATATGATACATGCTATATATATGGAGTAGGGATCGACTTACACTAGTGTAACTCTTACACTTTTTTTGGACCCTTAGATTAAAATTAAATCCATAACTCATTTGAATCAAAATAATAGTTTTAAATTTAGTAATTTTGATCCAAGTGTCCAAAAAAAGTATAAGATTTACACTAGTGTAAGTTGATCTCTCCTCATATATATATATATATATATATGTATGTATGTAAAGAAAAAAAGTCCCTACCAGAAATGGGTAACCGAATATCCCCTGAAAAAAACCTGAGTTCGACTGCTATCAACATTCTTGTCTACCCATCTGGAACCATGGTTGTGCAGTGCCTTGAAATAAGCTTAGACTTTTGGAGTCAGGTAAAACATGTGTCAACGTTTCTTGGTAAAGTTCTTCTCTGCATGACCACAAAATGTACAAAATCTATAAGCAATTTGAGTTCATTGTTGGCAGCATAGCTCTTTGCTTTTATTTTGTTATCTTTATTTTTTTCTTAATGAAGAATTATATGATGGTATGCAGGAATTTTCCAAGTGAGGACTAGAAAACAGAAAAAATAGAAAAACTTCTAATAGAGGTTTCGTTTTTTTTTTTTCCTTTGACTGACAAAAGAAGCTAATGGCCTCATAATAATCATGTAACATCACAATACAAGGTGTTGACTGTTGCAAGCAGTCCATAAATAGAGTTACTAGTACTCACCCTTTGGAAGTTTTCTCATGGGTCCACCAATGGCCTGTATTGAAGACCATAAGATCAGCATCATGAAACATTGAAGTTGATGGGTCCATCAAATCCAATCTTAGTGTCTCAATTGATCCATTTTCTCGCTTGAAAGATGATTCTTTAACAAGAAATGGAGCAGCAACAAAGTCCACTGAGCAGTTATAATCCTATAAGGACATCAAAATACATGTTCTACTGAGAGATGCATTGAAAATAGGTACAGCTTTTGTATCAACAACATAAGGATCTCCAGAAACTTGCCTCAAACCTGAAAGCATAAAAACCTTTCTTTTTAAAATCACTCCTTCCTGAAATTTCATAAACTCTTTTCTTTTTCTTGACGCTACGGCGGAGAATACACACCATAGACTCCCACATGTTCCTATTCAGGGAATCCCCAATAAAAACCAGCCTCTTTCCTCTCAGTCTCTCCAGAAAATCAGTTGCATTCAGCCTGGTTGATATCATTGATCAAGAAATAGTTAAAGAGTTGTAATGCATAAGTAAACTGAAAATATTCAAAATTCCATTCCTGAGGCTGGTACTTGGAACTTCATAGGTGAAACATATCTCATGTAACACCATTAATAAAATTATGGAAAATTATGTAATTTAACTATTAATACAGTCCAGAAATTAAAAAACTATCCAGGAGAGCAAATTTGACACGATTTTTGTAGTTTAACATTTGAACTATAAACTTTAACTTTTTAACAAGTTCATCAACAATGCCAGCATTTTTTTTTACTGCAATCTGGAAATAAAAGAAGAGGTTGCAAATGCTGGAATTCTAACTTCAGACTTACTGGATGCCACATCTTAAGGGTGGCAGCAGGGACCAACAGAGCTAAGCGGTTCACAATGCCAGCATGCAACTAAAAATGTGATCTTAATACCAATTTGAAATCAATCTTTGGACGGTAATAAGCGTTACTTCTATAGCACCCAATAACAAAGTTTACATAAATTTATCTAACTCATAACCTATCTTTACGTTCGCTGGTTCATGGGTAAGAAGAGGGGACAAACTTATAATTAAAGATAAATGCACATCAATATAGATCTTACCTTGGTATTTCACATCCATTTGGCTGCCATTTCCATTTAATGTAGCCATTATCAGGCCTTCCATTGCGCTGACACTCAAAATCCTTATCAATGTAAGGACAAGAACCTGGACGATAATATGGCTTTGAATGATCATCCCTCACCCACCTACCATCGAAGAAATCACAAGTCTCAAAAGAACCATCAGGTCCTTGATCAATCAATTCCATAGCCTTCTCTTCTCCAATAGGAAGTACAACTTTTTCCCCATTACTTAACAAATTGCCTACATTGTTGTTTTCTGTGGTCATATTATTAGCATCACCACGATGATCAACAAATTCCCCTTCAATAGCTTTATTGGCGTTCACATTTTCACCAACCAAAGTTCCATTATTTACTGTCTTAGAGAAATTCCCCAAATGGGTCTTCTCCAAAATCACTCCGTCTCCATTTGAGCTTAGAGGGTTACCACTTTCAGGAACAATTGAGCCATTTGCATCTTGGGTTGCCTGTTGAATCTTTCCTTCTTCTTCAACACCAAAGTTTCCAGTTTTAGTCCCCTCATCAGAATTCTCCAACTGGGTTCCCTCTATATCAATATCCACCCCGTCCTCTAAATCCACCTCATCGCCCTCACTCTCCTCCAAAAAATCTTGCTGTTCAGCAACCTTTGACGCATTGTCAATTTCAATCGTTTTCTCAGCATCCACAGGCCTCTGAAGGGAAGAAGAAGATGAAGGAGGAGGAGGAGGTTGAAGAGAGGAATGAAGTGAAACGGTGGCACTTCTAACACTATAAGACCCTTGGAACGGAGACCCCACAACAGGACCCTTAAGAGAATTGTTAAGCAATAGTCCAGTGATTACAATGAGAGACGCTACCAACCCCCAGCCAAGCCTAGAAAAGACCTTTCCCCTCGGTAACATTTGCTCTGATAAAACAGGTTTCTTTCCATCCATGGGACCTCAGAAAAAAGGAAGAACAGAAAATGCTTCCTCCCACTTCAGTTGAGAGACAATAAAGAGAAAGAAGAAAAGACAAGTGAACAACTTCAGTGGTGATGTGAGGTGCAGAAGAAGAGAGGATAGTGTGGTCCGTAAATAACAAAGAAAATCAAGAATAGGCGATGTTTTAACATGTGACAATTTTCATTGTATATGGACAGGAAGCGACATTGTCATGGGTTGTTTCGAAAAATGACAAGACAAAAGGAAGTGTGTAAAAGAGCGACTGATAGATAGGCTATGAGAACGGTGAAGCAGAGTTGAAAGCGTGGGGAAAAAGGTTTCTTACTTCCTACCGTTAAGTTTGGCAGTTTCTATTTACTGAAAGATGAACATAGAGGTTGTGCCAAATGGTGAATTTAGGAATTTACAGGCAGAGGCCATTTCTTAAGTTTGGAGAAAAAACAAAAAGTGCCATTTTTTCCGAGAGCAAAGATGGGCAAGTGAGTCACTGTATCTGCATGAGAATCTTTTCCCAAATGTAAAGCAAATATCTTTTTTAAGTCAATTATCAAATGATATTATAATTTGTTTGAAGAAATTATTAAATGAGAATCATTGGTAAAAATCACAATAATCCCAACACATTGTAAATCCACTCCGAGTTAATGACTTAACATTTTAATATCAGTTTGACCACGAAAATTCATCAAGAAAATCATTACCATCATAACTAAAAATTTATTACAGCTAACAATTAGCTATAGGTACTAATCAAGGTTATTTAAAATGATTCAGATACGTATAGAAACTAATTAAAAATAGTTTAAAAAATAATGTTAAACTCGTGTTAGATGATAATTAAGGAAAGAATATTGAAATTAATTATCGCATTTATTTTCTTTTGAATTGTATTAAATACAAAAATCTTCTTAAAATTAATACAATGGTTTCATCAAATTTAAAAGTAAACGTTTCCATTAATTATAATTTTTTCTTTAAATATAATTTAGCTAATTTTTTAGCAATATAGTCAACGTTATCTTCATGCTTATCATGAATTTAATTTCTTTTTCTAATAATTTTAAAGACATTCTTTCACAAGTTACATCACTTTGGTGTATTTATAATTTTACTTTTAACGTGTTCTAATAAAAATTGAACTCAAAGAAAGAAAATTCTCCCTCTTACCAACTAATACTTCTTTGTAATAAAAAAATATATAATTTAAAAAAATATATAACTCCTTACTGATGTAATCGAATCGAATCAAATCGATACAGTAAAAAGTTCAAACTTGACTCACAATTCTCTGTTCGAAACTCGACTCAAACTCGATTGATTTTTAATTTTTAAGTTCGAATTCGACTCAAGATAAATATTAAGATATTTGAATTTATTTGATTAAATTGATTTATCGAAAAAAAAACTTGATTTTTATGCTTTATTTCAAACTCAATTATTTGTGTTTAAACTTAATCTCGAGTTTGAATTGATAAATATATATAAAAGTAAAATAATAATTTTTAATTAAAATAATTAAAATATATTAAAATATAAAAATTCGATTAAATTCTTAAGCTATTTGAGTCAAGTATTATGATATTTGAATTTGATTTACTCGAAAAATCAAGCTGCTCAAGTTAAAACTGGACTCAACAATAATTAAATCAAATTTAAATTTTATCCAAATTGAATTCGAGTAGTTTAATAAAACATATTATTTACACCCCTACCCTTATGTCTAATCAATGTTGTTAGACAATTGTTAACTTTTTTTAAATTAATTATTATTTTAAAATGTTTCTTTTATTTAATACAGTAGTTCCACTATTTTTAAAATTTATTGATGCCGCTCCTCAACTCATTATTGAAGAAAGACCAAATAGTAGTAGGAGTTCATTGAAAAGAAAAAAATACTAGCAATGGAAGCTCCGATTGCTGCTGAGCCTCCCTTACCACTCAACCCATATCTAATGTCTATCCTAGTTTGAAACTGCAAAGGTGCCAAAAACCTTAACTTTCATACGCACAGTCTGAAAACTGGGTCATACTCCCTCATCCTTAAATCATGATCAGCACAAAAACCAGAGCCAGAGGTGAAGAAGTTCGCCATATCATCGATCAACTCTTTTTTCTATGTTTTGCGAGACATTATCTTTTGGAATGTAATATTAGGTTCAAACCGAATTTGAAATTAAAATAAAATAAAATAAAATCGAATAGAATGAAATTATATATTTTTATTAATTTTTATATATTTTTAAATTTTTATAAAATAAAATTATTTTATATCAAAATTTATATTAAAATAATATAAATAATTTAAAATTTTATAAATTTATAAATTAAATTAAATCAAATTAATAAAATTTAATTTGAATCAAATTATACAAAACACCTATTCAAATTTAAATTAAAATTTAAAATTTTATAATATTATACATTATTTAAAAAATTAAATCAAATATAATTCAATGAGATTAGTTATTACTTTTTAACAACTTCACTTCAACGAGTCTTAACTGTAAAACCACTTTTCCCGCCTGACACTGAATTGCAGGCAAAAGCTACAGTTACAAAACTTTGAACATTGTCGGTTGGCTAGCATGCCGCACGAGACGATGTTACACGCGTGGACAAGGGTTGTCCACCGTCAACCGCGTACTATCGAATGATAACACGTGTCAGAAGTAAAAATTGTGAGACATCGATCATTCCAGTTGCAGACTTGCAGGTTAAAACCCAAACTTTTATCCGTTTTACACTTTTCTTTTTTTTCTTTTGTCTTTCTCTTTATTTTCTACTTGTAATTTCTTCTTAACAATTTTTCTTTTGGGAAAGTTTGAATAAACAAAAACTATCTGATCCCAATGGAGTCTTCTCGGAATTAGGGTTATGTGGAAGTACTTTGTTCATGATTAGGGTTATTGTTATTGATCAAAAAATTGAAAAACATAATGTTATCAAAACAAAATTTTGCGGGATTCGAGAAAAAACTACGTTGTTTGCGTGAAAAAGGCTAAACCCAAGTTACATTTCACGCCTTGTGTCCACCAAAATGATCCCCTAAAAACTTTTAAGCAACTTCAAAAGAAACAATTAAGATATTTAAAAATTAAAAAAAAAAAGAAAAAAAAAAAAGAAAGAAAGAAACCGTTGAGAGTTTAAGATTGTTATGAAATTTGATTAAAATTCAGAGAACAACAATGCATATCATGTTATTCTAAATAACATTATAAAATAAAAAAGAATGAATGTTGAAAATATTTAGGAAACCTAAGAATTTAGTGTGGGTAGTTGTGAACTTAGGCTTTGATAAACATGCAAAAAAATAGACCCAAAAAATTGCAACCATAGCTTATATAGAGATTAGATATGTCCATTACAAGGTAGCCCAGACCCTGATTTATCAAGTTTAACTCCTAATTTTATGACCGGAGCCCACATATTACGGTTAGTCCCTTTAAGGCAGTGGTTAACAAAATAATGCAAAGCAAAAAACTCTGCTGACCCATGAAAACTATAATAATAGAATTCAAGGTTACAGCAAAAACCTGCCGACTTGCCTAACTAGTTGTCAAGAGGTGAGGGGCAATATAGTTTTTGAGTCTCAGAAAGTCCCCTTTTTTTTTGGATTATTAAAAGGGATAAGTATAACAACGATATCAAGATGCGCGAGAGTCTGGAGTGACTTAGGGCTTTGGTTTTCTTTCCGCTGGCAATTTGGACGTATGCTCAAAAAATATGACAAAGATTAAAAAAAAAAAAAAGATTTTTGTCTATTATATTCTGATGCATAGTTTGAAGTCTAAAACGCTCGTACTTTCTGTTTTCTTCAAAGCTGTCTTTGTAGTCTAGTAGTAAACCAGAGTGGACTAGACCAGCAGTATCACATTTCTGTCATCGAAAATCGAATCTTAGGATTATGTCTGTACTAAAAGCATATCATTTATGGCTGTTGTTTTGTTGAAGCTGATAATCAGAAAGTTTATTCGAAAGGATGACCCAATTCTTACTTTTCATCCGAGCTGCTGCACTTGGCATGCCTCCTCCTATAATAATCAATGTTTTAATAATCGAACCGGACCTACTGGTTGAATAAGTGATGATTTGGTCCTACCTCCAGAAGTTGGTTTGATCGCAACATTTTTACCTTGAAATTAATTAAGATTTTCTTTATTGAAAATGCTGTCTCCACTGGTTAAACTTCAATGTTTTAGTCGATATCTATGCTGAAAAGGAATATTGTAAAATGAGTGGTATCAGATTGATTGGGGAAGAAAACCTACTGCAAGAGCAGACGGAGCAAGTAGATACTATATATTTCCAACATTTTTTCCAAAATTTTTTGACAAAGCTCAACCGACTCACTCATTTTCTAGTAATGAACAAGAAGCTTATACATGACCTTCATTTTCTTTCATTTTTTACAGATGAATACAAGGATTCAACAACTATGAAAACCAATCACATATTTTTCGCATTTCACAGCTCTGCAATTGAGTGGGCACCCAACTTTAAGGCAAACATTTGTCACCTAGGACCAGAAAGCTCCATGGCTGCTACCACGAGTGAAGATTCTTCTATAAAATCAGAGTATCTTTGGGGAGGGTTATCACATGATCGGAACCTTGGTGTCTCAACCTTTTGCAAGGCCTCCCATTTCTCGGCTAAACCATCACCTTCTAGCGTCCTCAACACTTCAGACATCCTTGGACGGTGTAGAGGATTAAATTGACTGCAAAAAAGGGCAACTTGAACCATTTCTTCTAACTCAATTCTGTCAAAATTGCCCTTTATGTCCTTATCCACCAGCAGGCTTAGTTTACCTTCCTGGTGTAGCTTCTTTACCTGCAATAGAAGTGTGTAAGAGAACATTTTACCAATATAAGAAAAATAGATGGAAGGTGGTGGACGGAAACAAATGTGAAAGTATAGTCCTCTTAGTTTTAGGTAGTTAACAACAGAATGTTCAGTAAGGTTGCAAGATGGAATCCCATCTGAAGAGTGAGGTTAACAATCACCTTAATCAGATGTCTTCCAATGTTATGAGGAACATATAGAAGATAGAACAAAAAAAAAGGGAACGAAAGACACATATCATTCATGCAGTTAAATGCATCATCTGCGCTACACATGCAGCATGCTTAAAATGCCCAGAAATCTACTAGTTAAGATTTATTCCACGTCTATTTATGTTTTAATTGCATGTATTCCTCCAAGCATCTAATACATACATTTTTAAAAAACTCAGCAAGAGAGAGAGAGAGAGTACCCAATCAAGCATTACACCCTTCTGGTTTGCTGCTCGTCCAAAATCCAAGGCCCTCTGACCTGTGATTAGCTCAAGAAGCAGGATCCCAAACCCAAATACATCTGTCTTCTCTGATGACTTGCCTGTTGATAAATACTCAGGAGCAATGTGACCCACGGTACCACAAACTTCTGTAGTAACATGAGAATCTCGGTGATCTAAAAGCTTTGCCAACCCAAAATCTCCAACAACTGCCTCAAAGTCTTCATCCAACAAAATGTTGGCAGCTTTGACATCACGATGAATAATTTTAGGGTCACACTGTTCATGCAAATATAGAAGCCCCCTAGCTGTACCCAGGGCTATCCTCTTCCGTCTTGCCCAGTCTAAAGCTGGCCGACCATGAATGTGATCTAATGGAAACTCCAAAGTTGAAAAAAAAAAAAATATTATGGTGTAGATGCCAAATTCTAGCAAGATTAATCACTTCAAATAGTAATTAAAAATAAACAAGAGGATTCGGTTCTTTATTTAATTTCCAAATTGAATAACTCTCAGAAAATATAAATGTGGAAAGAAAAATCAATATGGTTCAAACTGTTAACAAGTATGGAGAGGCGATTTACATGGTAATTGAATGCAGCAGCATTTTATGCTACAAGGTTGGTTTTTAAATTGTATCCCCTGTAATTTACTCGGGTCTAAAGTTTATCCATAGGATGATCCTGTTGTATACTACAGTCCTCTTTAAGGAGATGCTTTTGGTTATCCAGAGAATCAACTAGAATGGTGGTGAATACCACTCTATAAGATTCACAGAAGTTGAAAATTATTTCCCTGTGAAGATCATACCAAGATCTTTATGGCAGTGTGAATGAAGATGTGTTAATTATTATCAACGACACCCAAATCTATATGCTGCCCAAAGCTGGACACAGCGTAAGTACAGTTCCAAGAAGCAGCATAGAGGTGCAATAGTGCACCTGTGGCTGTGACAGTGACTCAAAAACAGGTCTGCATGTGGCGGTGATGCTATGATGTTGCCAGCCATAGCTTTTGATGAACCTAGTAGCATATCTGAAGGTCCTGAATAAAAATAAGAATGGTGACCTACTACTACATGAACTTCAGTAAACTAACCTCTTAGTCTGGACGCTACACTGCCATTTGGCATATAGGGGTAAACTAGGAGCCTTTCATTCTCAGTCGTGCAGAATCCAGACAGCCTGAGAAGATTCCGATGGACGGCTAAACTTATTGTCTTTACTTCAGTCTGAAATTGGATTTCGCCACCAGCTATGTTATAGTCCTTCAGTCTTTTAACAGCCACCAAAGTCCCATCATTCAAGCATCCCTTGTACACTATCCCAAATCCACCTCTCCCAAGAATATTCCTTGAGTTGAAATGGTTGGTAGCAGCCCTAAGCTCCTTAAATGTATACCTTTTCAAATGGCCCAAGCATACTTCCGGGTCATATTTTTCTGCCACACAACATGCAAGGACTAGGAAATAGAGGATAACAGAAAGAAAAGAAAGGAAAAAATTATTCAATATACTACGTTGTGCTTCGAAAATTCATTTCGACCTCTTTCAAGGCATTCAACTTATCTTCTTTCTTGTTACCAAGAACAATTATCAAAATTACAACGATGAAGCTTTAACTTCATTATCTGCAAATAATGCATCTAGGATTCTGCACAATAAAAGCTCTAAAATAAAAGCAATTATAATAACTTGTATGGCTTAACATATATCAAAAACCATTACATAATTTATTGATTTTGGTCAGATTTCAGAGAAAACATGAAAACATGGACAATGTATCGGAACATTTAAGCAAAAGTTTCTCCGTACAATAAAACTTTTCTGATGAAAGACAATGCAATGTGCAAAGAAATTTTTGTGCCTCTGCATACAGAGATCCTAAAAACTGATGCCATTAATCATAGCATAGCTGCACTAAAAATTTCCAGGCAGCAGCATATACATGTGAATTAGGAGTCCTTGCTGATGATTAATGTTAACATACTCTTGTAGGCACCACAATTTCCCCGATTTATGGGTACATGAAACTTATACAATAATACTGCATCACTGACAAGAATACAAAATTCATAATAACAAGATCAGGGAATCTTAAGAAGCTAACCATTAACATCAAAGAAAATCTGCTGCTTGTGTCTATATCGCCACCAAACAAGTAATCCTATAAACAATATGATGAAAAAAGCAGGACCAAAGCTAGCACCAAAGCCAACGGCTACACGATGGCCTTTTGATCCAGAGTCTGATTGAGCTAAGAAATCAAAGATCCAGATATTCAAACATGGAATTAAACTATAATGCAGAAGAGAAATGTCAAAATATTGAAAAGAAACTGCATCTGTAACACAGTGATAGTCACCTTCTAGACCAGCTGGTGGGAGAGAAAGAGGCTCTGGAAAGACAGCAGAACAATTGTTGCCTGCTTTATGTCCACAAATTAAAGGGTTGCCAATAACTCTGAAAGTAAAAAAGAAACCATAACTAATAAACCATAATAACAGGCATTATAAGCATTTACAGAACAAGGGAACCAAATAGCTTACTTGAAATTCCTTGCCGATATTTTTGGCAGGGAACCACTCAGATTATTATATGACAGGTCCCTATAACAGGTTTTATAGACAATGGGTGAGTGAAATACATGCAGAAAAGTAACAAGATATCATCTAGATTTAAGGCTTCACAAATAGCCTTTCCAAGAACATTAAAATAGAGGAACACAGGTCCGGATACATACACAAGAGTAAGACCTCCAATGTTTGACAAAGAATCTGGGCATGTTCCAGTAAGGCTATTGTTGTTTAACCGCCTGACATCTCCAGCAGGCATAAAAAAGGGCATGTAAAAAATAAAGCCACTAGAAAGAAACTCAACAGGCAGTTCCATGATGCAAAAGCAGTAAAAATTTTAAAACTTACAAATAATTTAGGTTTTTCAGGTCTCCCAAGGAAGTGGGTATTTCACCACTGAAAGTATTGTTGGACAGATCTAGAGTCTGGAGCTTCTCTAACTTCCCAATGGTAGCTGGAATTGGACCTGAAATAGCATTATTCTGAAGCAACCTACACAAGCAAACGAACAAACATGTAACAACTTCACAAAAATGCAGGAAATTTGGGTCTTGAAATGAAGAAAACCCAACAATACATGGATAAAAATTAGTTAAATTTATATGCATCTTTAGTTACACAGAACCAATAACTTACACTGACTGCAGGTTGCTAAGGTTCCCAATCGAGGGAGATAAGGTCCCAGATATGCTCTGACTAGGAAGTCCCCTGTTGAAGGGAAAGAAAGAGTTTACACTAATACCAAGCTCCAAAAATAAAACAAACGGCTTACGGTAGATTCTCAGTTTCTTTTCCTATACCAATATCTGTTATTAACAGGCAAAGATATGAAGAAAACTTACAGAGCAAAAACATAGCCATCTGGAGAACAAGTAACCATCCTCCAACTACATGGATCAACAGAATTCAAATCCCAATTCTCCAGAACATTATACGGGTCGTGTAGATTCGATTTAATGGCCGTTAAAGCAACCACTGCTCAAAGATTCAACATAAATTAAGAGGGGAAAATAAGTGGATTGAACCTCTTGTCTTATTAAGCGAAATTACTGTAAAACTCTTGAAAACAAGAATTTTGAAGCCAAAGCTATCCAATTAGAAAAGACTTGAACAGAAAATGTGTCACTTGTTGTTATACTGGTATGTCGGCACAGGGCCGTTCAGACATTCTTGCAGCCCATCAAAGCATTTTCTCATAAAAAAACAAAAGAATCCATGAAATTGGAAGCTATCAATCATTTTAGAAATACCACAAAACGAAGAAAGTGATTAATGAATGTTAAAACACCACTTGACAATAACCAAAAAAAAAAAAAAAGAAAAAAAGAAGCGTCGAGCTTCAAGTTTGCAGGCAGATGAGAAAACGATGATTGTTTGTTAGTAAATCGGATGCAGAGAGAGAGGTAGAAAGGGAAAATTTTCAAAAGAAACTAACCTTCATAGTTTATACCAGTAGGAGAAAGAGTAGCAGAGGAAATCCCCATCAATGCCAAAACCAGTAAGCCCAGTCTAAACAGCATCAAACTCTTCATTTCCACACTGTTAAACTATACAGTCTCTCAGTTCTTCAAACTCTACTTTCTCTCAAAAACCAATACCCTATGATCAGCACAGCACGGACCAGCCATCATTCACATAAAGCTGAAGTTTCTATCCTTGCCTTATGCAAGCAAAAGATGTCACTTTCAGAATCAGAAACACATAAGCTGAACCCACCATTACCCTTTTAAGGAACTTCCTTTTTTTCTTCTTTTTTTTAAACCTTTCCACTTCAAAAACAAAATCAAAACTGCTTCTTGATTAATACCCAGATGCCAAAAAGACTTCTATATAGCAAATGACAGAAGGCCAGAAGGAGGGAAGACGAATCAAAAGGTAAGTAGTAGAATGAGCACCAAATGAGCTAAGACAAAAAGCTAGAAGAAGAGAATTTTCTCGAGAAACAAGCAGCCATATTTCCTAAAATTCTGAGATCCTAGAGATCTGAGAATGCTGGTGTTTGATTTCTATATGTTTTGGTTGATCCCCACAAATTCCATGTGGTTTTGCTTTTGGTTTCTAGCTTTCCCTTGCACTTCACTATTGATTCCACTACCATTATCTTTTAGCAAACTTTTTTTTTCCTTTTGCTTTTCACATTTTTAATTCCCATCAAAATACAAAGCAAAAAAAATCAATGAAAGAAAGAAAGAACCAAACAAGCAGAGGCCAAAACAATAGGCCAAAGTCGACCAGACACAGACGCAGATACCGTGACTCCAGTGTTTTTCCTTTTCTTTTTAAAACATTGAAAATTAAAAATTTATTTGGAGTGCACTACTTTTTAAAAATAATGTTATGAATTTTGGAATTTTTTAGAGGGATTGTTAAAATTTCGGTGATTGGACTGAAGCGATGGGCGGGATTTTGATCAAAAAGAGAACAATTGGAGCAAGAAAAAAAGGTAAAAAAAAAAAGAGTTCTTCCAGGTAAGTTTTTTGACAGGTCACGTGCTTGGATTTTCCTCGTCTTTGTTGGTTTTCAGCTTAAATTCCATATTTATTTAATTTAATTTAAATAATTATATTCTATTAAATAGACAAGGTTTTCGTGTTTTAATTAAAATAATAGTTAGATTTTGATATCACATAGTCAATGAACGCAAGTAAAAAAAATTATTCCATGAAGGTAAGTTATATTTAACTATTTGAAATATAAAATTATTAATTGATAAAATAATAAAGATAAAAGAGATCATGATTAGGATAAGAATTAATATTAAATGTTTTGAAGAAATTAATTAAATGAGAAAAAGGTTAGAAAGATAAAAATATGAGGTTTTAAATTTTGGTACACAAGTAAAGATAAGAGTGGAAATGGAATGAGAATAATTATATATAAGAATTTGAATAATGATGTGATTAAAATTAAAAGAAAAGAGAGAGAATTTTACATGTAAAACTTATATTAAGAGAAAAAACTATTGATGTCATTAGTGCTTGTAGCTCGCAAATAAGTTTTAAATCAAGCGAGTGAGCAAAAATTTTAGAAAGATTTAGACAAGATAGTACGAGCCATACTAAATGAAGAAAAGTTGTTTATCAAAGGAGACATGAATGATCACGTAGGTAAAGATTGCAGTGACTTTGAGAGGATACATGAAAGATATGACTTTGGAAAAAGAAACAATATCGAAAACAATATTTTAAAATTTGCTACTGCATTTGACCTAACTATATTAAACATGTGTTTTACAAAAAGTTAATCACATTTGGTAACTTTTAGGAATGTGTCAAATGCCATTTAAAAAAAATTTTTACAAGGAAAAATGATAGAAGTAGCTATAATGATTGCAAGGTTCTATCGAGTAACAGTGTAACAACACAATATAGACTACTAATTCTAGATATCTTTTATCTTCGAGGATCAAAAAAGATACGTTAGAGTCATGAAGCATGTATTAAGTAGTAAAACTTGAAAAGAGACAAAATATTAGCTATTAAGGATAAACTAATGAAAAAGATTAATTGAAAACCTAATGAAAATATAGAAATAATGTGGAAAAAATTTTTTATTAAAATTCAAAGAGTTGCTAAAGAGACACTTGGTGAATTTAGGGATTGTGCACCATTAAAAAGGAATCTTAATGGTTGAATGGGGATGTGAAAATGACAATTAAAGTTAAGTGGGAGTGTTATAAGAATTTAAAGAGAAATAGGGACGAGGTGAGTTATTTAAAGTAGAAGACAACAAAAAAAAAAAGAAACTAAAAAGGCTATTCGAGATTCAAATACTAGGATCCATGAAGAATTATATAAAAAATTAGTGACAATAGGTGAAGAAAAAAAAGTTGTTCAAAATTGTTAAAATAAGGGACAAAAGAATGGAGATTTTAATGGTGTAAGATGCATTAAAGACAATGATGAAAAAGTTTAAGTGAAGGATGAAGAGATTAACAGTGATACCTTTTTCAGGGTATAAATTGTATGTCTAAACATAATATTAGAAAGTATGAGGTTAAATAAGTTTTAAGAATGATGAAAAGTAAAGAAAGCTATAGAACCAGATGGAATTTCGATTGAGGTTTGAAAATCCTTGGGTGGAATAGAGATAGGATGGTTAACAGATCTTTTTAATAAAACTTGACATACTTAAAATATGCCAGAAATATGAGAATAGTACTTTAGTGCTTTTATATAAGAATAAAGGTAATATACAAAATTATTCATATTATTGAAGAATAAAACTTATAAGTCATACTATGAAACTTAGGAGGAAAGTAATTGAATGTAAGTTGCGATATGAGGTCACTAGGGTTTATGCCATAACACTCAATGACAAAGGCAATTCACTTATTAAAGCTTTTTTTGGAGGGTTTTTGGGTAAGAAACAAAGATCTATATATGGTATTTATAGACTTGAAGAAAACGTATGATAGAATTTCCTGATAGGTGCTTTAGTGGGCCTTAATGAAGAAATAAGTTCCTTTAAAGTACATTAATATAGTTAAAGATATGTATGAAGGAGTTGTAACGAATGTAAAGACATTTGAGGGCTTGATTGATAGTTTTTTCCATTACCTCAGGATTACATCAAGGTTTAATACTAAGTTCATTTCTTTTTGCATTAGTTATGAACAAAGTCACTAGATATATTCAAGATAAGTGTCATGGTGTATGTTATCTGCCAATAATATAGTCTTAGTTGATGAAACCACTGATGACCTTAATGTGAAATTAGAATTATAGAGACATACACTAGAGTTTTAAAGCTTTAAATTGAATAGATCCAAATAAAATATATGGAATGTAAGTTTAGATGTCATAGGGAAACAAGTGCTAATGTGATTAAGTTGGATGGTGAATTAGTACAAAAAGTAGTCATTTTTTATATTTGGGATTAATTATTCAAAGCGATGTTAAGATAGAAAAGGATATGGATCGTAAAGATTCAAGCAAGATAGATAAGATGGTGAAGTGCATCGGATGTATTATGTGATTCAATATGCCTTTCAAGTTAAAGGTAAAGCTGTATACAACAACTATAAGGCGTATATTATTATATGAGATTAAATATTAGGTCGTTACAAAACAACATGAGAAAAAAATGAGTATAGTGGAGATGATGATGCTTAGATGGATGTATGATAAGACTAGAAGAGATGAAATTAGAAAGAAGAGATTTGATAAAAATTATAGGTAGTCCGAATTGAGAAAAAGATGAGAAAGAATTTTTAAGATAGTTTGAACATGTGAAATATGAGCTTATTTGTGCACTAGTTAGAAGAAATGAATTTTTGGATTTAAGAAAAACTAAACTTCTAAAGATAAATTATGAAAGACACTGATACAAGTAATAAGAGATAATATGATGATTAAAAAAGTAGACGAAAATATTATTTTTTATAGAAATGGGTGGTGTAAGAAAATTCAAAATTACAATATAACATGATTCTTTTTTTTGACCTTCTATATAACCAACCTCATAATTATAAAATATAAGATTTAGTTTATTATTATTGTTATTATTTTGTATTCTGTTAAAGCCTTTATAGACATATGGTCCATCTTGATAAAATGCACAGATATTTTAAGAGAATGTTTAAATAAAGATACAATCGAACAAAAAGTTCATGAATAATTCATGTGTAGGTTTGTTTTTGTTCATTTATTTTTATTATAAACAATATTTTGAGATTATTTAATTAAATAAATAGATAAAAAGATAATAGAATTTATTTATGTTCAATTCATTTTTCGTTTGAAAAAGTAAACAAACATAATATTTTTTGAATAGTTTGAAAATATACTTATTTTTTTATTAAGTTTAATAAATAATTATGAATAATATTTCATAATTAATTAATTAAATGAAAAATCATAAATATAACAAAACTCATTCATATTCGTTTTATTTACTTTCATATTTTTAAATATTCAAAATAATTCTAATAATTTACACTTAAATACTATTGATGGATAAGCAATCGGATAAAATTTAAAACTTTATTTGAAAATAAGAGAATTCAAATTAACAAAACTAACAATAAAATCCAAAAAAAAAATTTCTTAACAAAATTTGAAAAAGGTTTAATAAACTAAAAAAAAAATCTCAAATACAAAATTTTGAAAAAAATAAAAATAGAAACATCATTGTTATTATAAACGACAAAATACAAAATTTCAACTTTTGGATATATTAATAGAATTAAAACATTAATGGACATTACAAAATATAAATAAATAAATTCTCCAAAGCTAAAATTTTATTTAAATATAATGAACGTTTGTTAATAGATATACTGCTATATGTTTGCAGTTTTAATTAATCACAGAAGCTCTTTTTAAATATTCAAATTATATCGAATTTGAACTTACGGATGGGGGGAGGGGAGGAATTGCACAGAAAAGTAGGAGGAGGGCAAAAATGTGGAGTGAAATGGACTCGCCTTAATATTTTTGTTTTGCGAGTGATGAAGAAGATAGTTGGTGCAGGCGCAGCTGTGGAATTACTGCTTAAACAGCAGTTTTTGGAATGGAAAACAGTGGACGAATGATACCATAAGATCAGATGGGTCTCGTCATGAACTGTACCAATGTCAGGGTTTATTTGAGTTTGATTGGGTGTAATTAAAATAGTGATAAATGTGAGATTGATTATTATAGGAGTGAAATTAAAAGTAATGATAAAAATAAATGTATAAATATAAATGTAATTATGATAGTGAGATGAATTATAAAAAATAAATAAATAAGGGAATTAAATTAAAATTTTTATGTAATAAAATTCTTGATTAACTAATATTTATAAAATTAATAAATTATTAAAAATTTTATTAAATTATTTTATTTGAAATAATAATTTATTAATAAAAAATTAAAAAAATAATATATTAAAAATGTTTTATTAGATTAATTAACAAAATTATTTTAAAATTGTTAAATAAAAAATTAAAATGTTAAGATTTTTTTATCTTTATAATATAATTGAAAGGATAAAAATGTAAAAAAAAAAATCTTTTCCTGACTGCACCTAGAATCTCCAGCGAAAAAAAAGCTATTATTCTTATCCAGCGTTGAGATCCAAAATAACATTTCACGCTATTTACACAATATTTTATGAAAAGAGCAATCGCACTGGGAGTGCGTTTACTTCCAAACTCGCTCTCAATCAGAGCCTTGCTTCTGCTATGCTTTTTGCCAACTTTGCAGGATTGGGATGGGGCCATGTGCTCTCTGTTTCTTTTA